TTCTAGAGTTGTCCAAGTTAAGACCTTGAGGCAGAATCAGGACACTAGACAATGTTTTCTTTTTTCTTAAACTGTGTCTGATCTGTTCTGCTGCCCCTAAATTCCCAGGCATCGATATGCACGTCCCTTACATGCACTAACCAAATGCAGCCTACAGAAGAAATAGCTTCAAATGACAATGGCAAAGAATGCTGGTTTTCATGGCACCTTAACCCATTGTAGCTGTATGTGTTAAAATCAGAAGCATTTGACATCACCAAAAAGGACTTAGGACTCTAATATTGCACGTTACTTAACCAGTGTTAACAAAGGCTGCTCCCAAAGGGATAATTTCATACTTTTGTTTGTTCCTTCTGTATGTTATTTCTCAGGATTGATTTTTTTGTGGTGCCTATTTTATCCCAGTGTCACATTGACCCGGTGGATATTGTACTGAACCTAAGTTAGAAGAGTTCCAATCTTGGTGCAACCACAGGTGCTCACGTTGGCCTCCAGCACTCCCTAGCTCTTGCCTTTATTAGAGAATGAGAGTATTGCATGGCCAGCTTCCACAGGTTGTTGTGACAAAGGATGGTACAGCTCTTGCATGCAACAGCTGCAATTTTAAGCATACTTGCCAAGGAGTAAATGCCACTGAACTCCAAGGTAAACTTTTAGGTAAACATAGGATTGGAGATGATGAAGAGAACTATAGGCCAAACTGCACAGTATCCTAATTGCCCAGCTGAAGTTTGCCTTTTATTTTATTCCAGTCCAGGTGCTCATGGCTCCAGTTCATATCAGGACCACTGTATTCCAGGAGGGGAGGATGAAATCTTCCCCACCAGTTGCTTCCTGAAATTTCTCTCTCTTAGGAAAAAAATCTCCATTTGCCTCAATGGAGCAGAGAATTTGGGGAAGCAAATGGGATAAAGGAGATAAGGGCAAGTACACTTACACTACAACAGAAGAAAAAAGATAAGCCTTGCCTAAATGTTTTGCACAGAGTGTAGTATGACCCTTAGGGTGAACCTAAGCATGTATATTCCAAAGCAAGTATGTGTAGCTGCAGAAAGTTTGGAAGCACACCTGAATGCAAGGGACATCTCTCTCCCCTGCTCCCAAAAAGAGCTGTTGGATAGCTGTGCCCAAGCAGGATTGGTGATCAGAACACTCCCCTTCTGTTTCCCCTTCCCAAGCACACGGAAGATGTTATCTAGTTGGGGGTGTCCATCTTCAAGTCCCTACAGAACATAATATTTCTCTGTCTCCTTCCAGGCTCTCTCTGCAGGAGAGGAAAGGAAAGGGGATTGTTCCAAACTTACCTGCAAGTTCTTGCATTTTGTCACATTTGTTTTCTCCTTAGTCCATGAACAGCTGCTGCAAAGTTATTGAAGTGTAATAGAACTTTTTCATTTGTTACATGTGCATTCTACTGACTGTTCAGATGACACTACTTTTATTGGAAATCTGGCTTGAATAAGCACTCTTAACTATATTCTCCTTAAAAAGCTGACAGCAGCATACATAATGACCAGGTTTGTACAGCGCAGCAACCCATTGTGGGTTGCTATTCATACCAGGTAGTCATGTTGTGGACGCGCAGAACAATTTCCACAAGGTGGCTTGTTCACAGGCAGCAAAACCCTCAGCAACCTATTGACTTTTGTTGATGTTATTGTGTCCACAACATATTGTTGTCTGCACTTCAGTGACCAACTCCATGGTGAGTAGGGAGAATCCTTGGCAATCCTTCCCACCATAAAGGCAAGTTTTCATGAGTTCTGGTTTGACTCCGAAAGCCCCTTCAGAGTGCTTGAGTGGTGCCTTGGAGGCACTGTCCATCGTTATCATAGTTACACTCTTTAGAAACAGATTGTGCAAATAGTACTTTGAACCTCTCTTATGCAACTGCAGCCGTTTGAAACCACCACAACGTCCAGGAGGTGCATGCTGGCACTGTACTAGGAGCTTGCTTGCTTATTTATTTATTTATTAACAGCTTTTCTAACCCGTCCACTACAAACGTCTCGGGACGGCTTATAATAAATGAGGGTGGCGTTCAATATATAAGAATGTGCAAAAAGGCACCCTCTTCTTTTTCTAGGGAAAGTTTTGACAGCTTTGATAATTAGCTGCCAAAACTTTGAGTCCTTTAAAAGTGTGTGTTAACAGGGCAATAGGTGTATTTTTTTTTCTTTTAATTGGGACATGTGGCTGTATATATCCCATTCAGAAAGATGTGAAGTACCTTGCAGGGAGAGAGATGAGGCTATTGCCATGAGCAGGATATCAGTCCCCAAACACATGATCTTGTGAAGCTGTCAAGAGAAACCAACCAGGGGGGCAATCCAGAATACTTGCTGCTTCTTGGGAACAGGCACCCTTGGACACTGCCTCAGCCAAGGCTTGAGGTCCACTTGCTGACTTAGCTATGAAGTTTCACAGTTGTGCAAGTTTGGCAGAAAGGCTTTTTAAACTGCTTTTTGTGCATGTGTGTGCGCTCACAAAAAAACTTTTTTTAAAGGTTCTGACAGCCATGGACAGACCCTCCAAAGTACTGCTTAGACACTTCAAAGGGGCTGCTAGTGGCTGTCAAAACAACAGTCAACATAACCTCCAGGGAAACAAACAAGAAAGGGAACAGGGAAGCTGCAGCGAACCAAAGACAGCTCATGATCATGGCAGGTAGAAAACTTGGTATACCTGGGAAGGAGCAACCTACAGTCAGCCTGATTGTCAGTTGGGCTCACCATGGTTTGTTTGCTTAAGAACCAACCCACCACGGCTTGTTCCAAGGGTGGGGTTAGGGTGACATGAGAAAGCACCCAGGAAACAGTGCATACATAGCTAATCTAATGGAACAATGTGAACCATTTTCTGAAATTCTGTAAAAACATATAAACCTATTCTGAACTTATGACAATACTTGAGAGTCTAGCTGCACTTGCTGTTTGTTTTTATTTTTAAAAAAACTACATCTGCTGAGATACTGTGCAAATTTATACTGAACAGATTTAAAGTTGATGTACCTATCACATTTCATTACATCAGAATTTATGTACTTATAAGTGATGAGAGAAACTGGAGTGCGCAGATCAAAATAAAGATAACCAGATCCTTTTAGCTTAGCACCTTCATTTTTTGCTACCTATCTTAAAGATTTAAATTCATCTACTGTGCTTTACTATTTTTGTTAGAGCGGCACCTGCTGCTGTCACTGTAGCTTGAATCACGGCTTCTTTTCGAAGTTGCTCTCTCAAATGCTGCAGACAGAAATATTGAGAGTGGCCTGGGACTTATGAAGGACTTTTTCCCTTGTTGGCATGAAAACGTTGTTCAAGGAATGCAGTATCCCCCCTTGGGTGAAAAACAGAAAAAGCAGAAGAGCCTGAAAAATGTGTTTGTTTCCTAAAACAATATTTTGTTTTTCCCCATTTCGGAAGCACAGGATTTAACCTTTTTGCATTTTGGAATTTTTGCTTATAAGCATGTCAGTTGATACTTGTTTTCAAGTGGTTTTTCTTCTTAGATTTTGTTAAAATTGCTTTCTGAAATTAAGGAAACATTAAGCAACTGTAGTGGGTAACGACAACTCTTACTACATTGAACAATCATTCAGGAAAGTATTTGCATAATGCATTATTTTATTGGAAGGACTGATTGAAGACTCTCAACATTTTTAACCATCTAAATTGATTACCTCCCTCAGAAAGCTAAGAATGTTTTATGGAGATAACTGAAAGTAGCATAAACATGAAGACTATAAACAGTTGAAAAAACTTCTTCCCCTTGTTTCGCTAGTGGCAAACATATGTCTACTGTAACTGTAATTTTTTTACATTTTCTCGAACACTGTAATCTTATGCATGTCTACATTAATTCATTGGGTCTTACTCCTGGGGAAGTGGGAAGCAAAGTACCAGAAAATTCGTGATGGCCTCAGGGAAGCTGCCCTGTTAACTTAAAAATACCTTGTTCTGGGAGTTCTCCAAAATAATATTTCCCCTGGTAGTGTCTTCAAGACCTTATTCAATCCCAATCTCCTACTTGGTAAGATCTTCAGTCAGTTTTGTTTTTTTGTTTTTTTGCTGTCTGAAATGTGCTGGACAAAATAAGAAGCCTTCCTTTTCCATTCCAAGTTACAAGTGTGTATTCTATCTAGACTGACCCTTTCACAGTAGACAGAGCAGTAATATTACACTGCTGTAAGGCAAGCCTTGAACATACTTCAGACTTTTGAGATCTACTTTGGGTTTTTTAACTCCAACTGGAGCCAGTCAGATGCAAAAGCACATACAGGGGACCAGAGGGAAGGCATCCCCTTTAGAACAAAGAAATGAGGATTTTTGAACAATGGAATTCGTTCTCAGCAGCAGAACTGAGCTTACACTTAGTTCACACATCAAAAACCACTTCTGTTTCCTATCCACCCACAGCTTTCTTCTGTGTCAGCAGCCTAATTTAATTTAGAAGAGAGGACATTTTTGTTGCTGCTGTTAAATCAGTTATGAATGAGAAATCTTTGGTGATCTACTACAAATCACCCAGAAATCTTCCAGTAAATCTTAGTCTACATTCTGTCACCTGTGCCTCAAGCAGAACCATGAATGAGGGAGCAGATAAGCAGCTTGGCACACAGATAAAAAAGCAAGAGGGAGATTTAAGTCACCCCGATATCTATACAAATGCCCTCTAGCAGGGTACCAATTTGCATTAAGCCTCAAAGAATGCAGCTTTCAAATCAGTGAATTTGTGCCTAGAGTCTCCATGATATTCTCAGTCTCCGCTTTTCCTCACTGTGAAATTATTTTGAACTCATGTTCTCCAGCTACTTACTAGATGCTTCTGTTCTTGAGCCTTTCTGAAATGTGTGTGCGTGTATTTGGGGGGAGTCTTCTATTTTTTCTTCTGTTTTGAAATCTCAGTGGAATATTAAAAAGATAGAATGCTGTCCTATTAGTCTTAACACAGACAATGCATCGAAACATTATTCAACTTAAGTATGTTTCTGCCTACAGGAATACCAATGCTGAAGATAGTATTTGAAGGCTATGAGCACCTATCTTTAATTTCAGTCCCTTTACTTATCTATCACCCGGCTCAGATCCTTCTTGGCAGTGTGCTGGTACCAACAATAAAATCTTGGATGATTTCTAGACAAAAGGTAAGAAATTATGTTCATTATAGATTGGTAGGTAGGTAGATAATTCTACTTTAGTGCTAAAACTGGGAATATTCAGAAGGTACACAAAAACAGAATTAGCATGGCTTAGGAGAACTCTTGATTACTGTATTACTACAGAGATTTCTCAGCTAACACTGTCAGAACTGGGTCTAAGACCATGCTGATGTCAGAGCAGAATATCAGGCTTGCGCTCATATGCATGGAAAGAGCACATCACTGCATAGGGCCTGTGAATAGCATCATGGCACATTTCTCCTTTTATTTACTCTGCAAAGCTTAACATAGGCATAAATCCAGAAGAGAGTGTTCTTCGCCAAAGGAATCAGAGGAATGAAATGGCTGCTTTACCTCAGCCTAGATTTCATGAGGCCAGAAAAGACTGAAATAAGCAATGTGAGTTATAGATGTGTGATTTGATGATCCAGCGACTTAGTTTGCAGCACCAGAAATACTTTCAGAAACACAGCTTTGCAACTGAGCTATTGTTAGCCAGATCATCTGCCTAGCAAGAACCTTCCCCTCCTGGTATTTCTTCCACCCATGCATTTGTGCCCAGGAAGCTCTCAAAAGCCCAGATGAGGACTGCTTTATGTTCTCCTCAGCGAGTGGGGATTCTGCCTTCTCTGGATGTGCCCATGATAGGCCTCCAATTCGGTCTCTGAATTAATCAGTCTACACTGCCTGGCAGGCTTATTTTGATCATTTGTCATTTTCCCATACAAATGTTCTTCTCCTGGTCTTCTGGGTTATTTTTCCAAAAACAATATTATTCTAATTATGTGACAGTATTATTATTTTTGTAAATCAGGAAGGTAGTTTTTGTTCAGGAGCAATAATTACAATGGATTTTGATGTTGTGCCTGGATAATGGTCCCCTGCTTTGAAAGTAAACATGTCATCTTCACCTTGATGTTTATTTTCTATCAATCCCTTGGCTTCACTTTGGCACTTCTCTCATGGTGGAAAACTGTTATCCAGTCACTGTATTCAGTTCCACTGACATCTTTGCTTTAATTATGATACCAAGATGTGATCTCTTCATGAAATAGAATTTAAATATTTAGAGGTTCCTTGAAAAAAGGGTGTTTCTACTTCACAAGTAGTGCAATAGAATTTGCAACACACCAAAGTAAAGAGGATCCAAACAGAATCTGAAATACTTGTATTTTCATTCTCAATATCAAATACAATTCATGCTAATGCTCAAACTTAACAAAGAAAAATTACAGTTTTTACATGGGTAATATTATCCATTCCTTTACTGGTTAGTTTGTTTTTAACTTCTGTTGAATCTTTCATGCCAAATAGTTTTTAAAAACAAACAACTGGCATTAAAATATAAGTTGTATTCCACAATCTTTGGAGCTTTTAATAGGGGCACAGAGCAAGTAACAGTTTTTCATTAATACCCAGTGTTGACTTGAAGGTGTAAAGAACTTGAAAGGAACAACTAGCTTTTTATATTTATTTATTTATTTCATTTTTATACCATCCAGTGGCCAGAAAGGCTGTCTGGGCAATTTACAAAGTTATTACATGTAAACAAAAGCAAAAGTAATTCTGTCACAGTAAGACAATAACAATGGCTGATCATCAATAGCCAATATTTGTGTACAAAGAGAAGAATCCAATTATGTCCAGACAAAACTATTAATACTACTGATGTTGTGCAGGTAGAAACCAAGCATGTACAAGATCAGTTGTGTTTGCTAGCACCCTGGGTTTCCCCATTACACTAGCAAGCACCGTAATCTTGGTTTCCTCTTGTGCAATGTCAGCAACACTAACAGTATGATCCTTTTTGATTTGCTATATTTGGAATACAAGAGCATAATCAACACTGGCACTAGCCCTGAAACCCCAGCGACCAAAGATGAGGAGTTATGAAAACCTACTGGTACTCGGTCTCACGAGCTATCAAACAAACAAGAGGATGCTCAACACAAGATTAATCACAGTGGTGTCTACTTCAAGGAAAGTGTGTTTGAACAAAGCAGTGCCCCTGTCTTTTGAAGTTTTCAAGAAGGAGCCTTCTCATCCCTCAGGAAGCCGTTGTCTGCTTTGGAACCCTGTGTTCTACTCTCTCTTCCTCTATCTAGGGAAAACAGTTATGCCAATCCAAAGTATTCTTAATGGGAGATGATAATACATAATTTCTTTTTCCCAGGGAAATTACAACAGGTGGATTCCAGATCTACCTAAAATCTGCCAGCCTTTACCATCCATGCTATATCAGATGTGTGAATTCAGTTTGGAAGTACCAGGCGTGAGAGTAGGGCATGCTGTCAGTTAGTGGCAGAGAAACAAGGCAGTGTCATATATCCAGGTATGAGGAAGTGAGATAAAGAAATAATCATCTATTGAGCCCAGGGAGTGATGTGATGAAACATTGATTGAAACAAAACCAAATTCTTCTTTGGCTCCTGATAATTGAGGATTGTTTCAGTGGAGGAGGAAACTAGTAAGACTGGGGGGAACTAACTGCAGAAAGGTGTGAGCAGAAGATTGGTGTTTCTTTGGGAAACATTTAGTAGCAACTGCTTTGCTACTTGTTGCTGGTAGTATTTGGAGTGTTGAACTGAGGCTGAGGAGATCCAGGTTCAACCCACCACATGACCTTGAAGCTCACTGGGTGACTTTCACACAATCAAACAACCCATGGTTGTTTGTGAGCAAAAGCAACTGAACAAGCTGACTTCCACTCTCTCGCCTGCTTCCACTTTCTGAAACAACCCCTATGTTTGGGCACATCTCTGGGTTGTTTGCCTCTGAGCTTACATGTCAAAACAGCCCAGGGACCAACATTCGGAAAGCTGATTCACAGTGGAAGTGGCAGAGGAGTAGGAGGCAGTGCACTCACTTATTCCCATGCAGTCTCGACGCTTCATGGAATATTAAACTCAGACAAACAGGTCACTGATTCTCAAGCCTATCCTACCTTACCAAGTTGAGTGAGGTTAAAATGGAGAGGAAGGAAACCATGTAATCTGCCTTGGGTTCTTGGAAGAGAATGCTGGATATAAACGTATCAAATATATAAGTATGTTATGTTGATTAGTTGTGTTTTTATGAATGCAACCCACTGATGCTCCTATTTAATGTTTTCAGGCATTGAAATTGACAAAGCAGCCCAAGGTGCCAGTGAAAGTATAACAACGGAAGTGATCCATTGAATGTAAATATGTACTATTTTGTACATACACAGAGACAATTTAGAAGATGGGCATATGTGAATGTTGCTTCAGCACTTACTTTATTTTTATAGATACATATATATTTACAATACCTAAGTACCTACTGAAGTGCCTTAAACTATGTTTGATGAAAGCATTGATTCCAAAATCAACGGTCTGGTTACTGTAAGAGATTGCACACAATTTGAGGGTCATTTGATTTTTTTAATTATTTTTCTTACTGGGCAAATACTTCTATCGGTGAAAGACTGGAGCTTCCATCATTGCACATTCTCAGAATCAGTGGACACGATCCACCGTGTGTTTTTCTCACACAGATTCTACTGAAATTAACGAGAACTGCATGGGAGCGCTATTCCGTGAATTGCACTAACCATTCACAAATGCATATGTTAACCCCTGGTTAAAACAAACAGGGCAACTCTCTTCTGGCTGAGTACAGGAAAGAAATTTCTGAAGTTCCAGTCAAGTTTAACTTGAATTTTTATGTGATTCCATAACCCTGCCTGCTCATGGTATTGTGACATGCCTTTTTCTTCTGAGTTTGTGTACACTCAGCATGGGGCCATCCATTGGAAAGGAACTGAGAAGCATAAATTATTTGCATTTGTTGACACAGTTGTCTAGACATTCCTTCAAAGCTAATGGTTTCTCAAGACAATTCTCTCAGTTCCATTTTTATGATATTGTGGCATTGTATATCATAAATGCACCCTGAGCTGCTTCAAAGAGTAAACCTGGTGCTTAGGATAGTAAGGAAAGATCTGTGATCTGTAGGCAAAGTGAGGAGACTATATCATCATCATCACTAACCCAAACCAAGTGGAGGATTTTTGCCCCCCTTTTTTCCAGCCACAGCACACCGCACACCACAGGGACAGAAGCAGATCAGGTGCTAAAAGTGCAGCAGTCACTTTACTGCCATTCATTGAGTTGATTGAGCTGTGATGTTTGCAGCCGCATAAGCAGCATGCAAAATGCTAGTTAGGAAGGTAAACCAACCATTTTTTCAGAAAGCAAATATATTTATATATTATTCACCTTTAGGGAGCAATGGTATGAAGAGGGATAACTTCTGGCCCATGTGACAATCAGATGTAGCTTGGGTGGAAATTAAAACAAATAAAAGTATTGATTTTCTTTACATTTTAATAAGGGGAAAACAAAATACTAGGGTATTCATGAATACAGAGGAAATACAGGGAAAAGTCTTTTCATATAATAATGTAGTATGCAGTGCACCTTATTCATAAGGCCGGACCACAATCTGAGAAACAGACGCATCATTAAAGCCTCATCGGCTTGGGGGTCATGTGAGCCCAATCCAACAGTTCCGTGTCCTGTCCAGGAGGTCATCCCCATTCATTGGCCAGTCCAGTGATGAACATAAGAAATCAAGCCAAGGGTCCATCTGGCCTAGCATTCTGTCAGCTACCCAAGGGAGCCCACAAGCAGGACATGGGTACAGCTGCACCCTCCCTCCCCAGTTCTCCAGCAACTGGTGCACCATCAAAGTGTGTGGAGAAGACAACTGGGGCAAATGCATGCATGTCTGTTTGATGGCATGTGGAGTATGGGGAATGACATCACTGATTTTGCAGATGGTCTTCCCTGGGCATTGCAAAGGAAGGACAGGGTCCTGGCGGATGGCGTACAGCTTCAGCATTGTTTTTAACAGCATACACAGTGTTTGAAACACAGTCCACTTTCCCTATCCCAGAGTGTAACCATGCTTAATTGGGATTAACTGTCCTGCCCATATAATGTTATTTGGTGCCAAGTTGAGGTCCTTTTTGTTAGCAGCATTTTCTATCAAACAGTTTTTCATGGTCTCCACACATCGCACATAGGAGCTCTGCAACCTTGTGGAGCACTCTTCTGGAAGCAAGAAGAGCTGAGGAATTTCTGGCAGGAGCCCTGCAGCACCATCGCAGTGCATGTGTCCCACGCAGGAACCCATCTGCTCCATCAGGTCCCAGCATTGTTCCCAGCCTCCTTGAGAACTGCAATCTTACTCCATGAGCTGCGGCGAACAGCTGAGGTGTTACTACCTCTTACCTTGCTTTGCTGTCATCATTTCTGTCTATTTCTTTGCGTTTTATTGATTTGGTTTTATATTCCCGATCTCTGGTGGCCCCATTGCCTGAGATCTTACGACCCTAAAGGCACACTTCTTACCACACGTGTCTGCTCCCACCCCTAGACCAGCACTCTTTGTGGCTTAGTGTTTGTGTTAGTTGTTTTTGCTTGCCCTGGAGAAGGAGATCAAATGGAGGTACGTGCCTGTTGCTTAGCATATGCAAAGAAAGCCGGGTGCTCCAGGTTATCCTTGGAAAAGTCCATGTGAGGAGGTGAATCTGCTGCCGGCTTTGGCATCTTCAACCTTCAAAGGTCAGTGCACAGCCCTGGAAGGAAGGGGGGTTGAAATAACAAATGCTGTCTCTGACACTCCTCAGTGTCTTCTGCAGCCTTCTGTCTTTAAACCTGTTTTCTGAACTCATCTGTCATTTTTTCTACCTGGATGGATCAACATCATATTGGATCCTTCAGTCCTTTCTACTACCCAGAGGGGTTACAGGATCAAGTTTGACACTCTCCCTCCCCTCAGTACCATCAGAACCACAGTTCCTTCATGGATGCTGAAAACAGAAGTAGAGAAGGGGGCCATAGAGCACATCCCATCAGAACATGATTATCAAGGATGTGAACTCTTTCATCACCCCCAAGAGATTCTGGATGGTTACATTGGTATTGATATTCCCACTACTACACAGTGGGGACTGGTTCATACTGGTAGATTTAAAAGACATATTAAATTCTTTCCATATTACCACTGGGTCACCATTACCTCCAGTGCTGACCTTTGGTCTGGCCACTGCAGCAAGTCCATGGGGGTGGCGAGAACCCATTTTTTTGTCCACGGGGGGAAGGTCTATGCTTATGTCAACATTTGGCTACTGGTCAACTCTATGAGGGCAGGGGTCCTCAAGGCTGATCTTTCTGATGTGCCTTCACCTCTATATCTTTGGTCTTTATGTGGAAATGGAATTATGGGTGGACAAAATAAACTTGTTCATGGAGATTCTCTAGCCTTCCACATCTTGGGTCCTTAGAATGAATGTGTCTCTCTCTCAGGCTGGGGTGCCCACTGCAACACACTGACAATATGAGGGATGTGTACAGGAACAGAACCTAATGGGGTTGGATGTTGAAAAGGCCTTGCAGGTGCTCAGAATGGGCCTTGGGTTTTTTCTTATTCAAGTAGTTCCAGATAATAGCACCACCATTTGCTACTTGAACAAACAAAAGGAATACCTTTGACATCCATCAGTCCCAAGCCTGATTGCTTACAGCCAGGGCACAATTTGGCACATAGATGCTTTACATGACCTCCTGAGTGATCCAATAACCCATGTGCCAGTTCTCTGCTTGCACTGGTGTATAATTAATGCAGTTTGTAAACCCACTTTGAAATCTTACATCCATGAGCAGGCAGTGCCTTGTGCATCTGCCACAGTTGGCAGTTTTGACCGCAAGTCCTGCTGGTCTTATTATCTGTTTCACAAAGACCAGAAGCCTTCTCTGCAAATGTATCTGGCAGCTGTCTCAGCCTCACTCCTTCTGGTGGATGATCTCTCTTTCTTCTCCCGCTCAACCACAAGTTTCTCGAAGGAGTGCAGGATCTAACGCAACAAATTTGGCACCCTGTCCTGAGTTGAGATTTGTCAACCAGCCTGAAAGATTTGGCCACCAAGCTGTTTGAACAGCTTGCTAAATGAAATCTCCATCTCCATTTGTAGAAAATGGCTCTCTCTGTAGCTTTGCTGCTTTCCAGTCGGGAAAACAATGTGCCTTATATATGGACACAGCTGCTATTCCATCTTGATAAAGTGGTATGCCATCCAGATGTCACCTTGCTTTCCGAAGTTGTGTCTGATTTTCTTCTGAAACAGGGCACAGTCCTTCTGGCTTGATTACCATTTCCTGCTTCTCCAGCTGAGTCTTCTCTAGACACTTCGGATGTTTGGTGGGTGCTGGCTTTTTACAGGGCAAGGTACAAGTGTTCTCGTGAGACTCTCCGCTTGCTTATTTGTTACGATGCCAGGCAGCATGGACCTCCGGGGTCAGTGCAAAGATTTACATCTGGGTTGTTCGATTCCATCAAGTTAGCATATTAAGTCGGCTGGCCTTGATCATTCCAGTCCAAGCCCACTTAACCCAGGCTGAGGCTATAGGTGTCGCCTGAGAGAGGAATTTCCCCTTCTCAGCTCTTCAGAACAGCCACCTGGTCAAAAATGTCAACTTTCATCAGCCGTTGCAGACTTTATGTGCATGTCAAGGTGGAGTGCTCCTTTGGCAGTGCAGTTTTGTCTGCTGGTCTGCAGTGGGACATCAACCTGCCACGAGTAGGTCAGTTTGCTGCTTGCACATTTGTGTGATGCATGGAGACCACAAAGAGGAAAACCAAGTTGTTTACCTGTAACTGAAGTTCTTTGAGTGGTCTGTTAATTTACGGAACCATCCACCATCCCTGCTTTGGTGTCTACCAAGGCTACAACTAGCAATTTCAGTGAACTGAGGGAATAGGTGGAAATACAATAGGGAAAGGTGCATGAGACAGTGGGGGGAGTTCCTGCCAAAAATTCCTTAGCTATAGGCATTTTCCAAGTAAGGTGCTCTACAGATACAGTGCCCACATGTTTGAATGTTCAGATGACCACTTGAAGAACTACAGTTACAGGTAAGCAGCCTGCCTTTTCATTAGTTTATTGATAGACTATGAAATGATGTCATGAGTTCTAAATGCTAAAAATGTATGAGCCTGCAACATTCTGTCTCTTGTTAACAGGAATTAAGATCACTGAAACTGTGCCAGTAGAAAGGTTACTGCATTCCTCTAATTAGGTTGCCTCAATCATTTTATGTGCAAACATAATCATAAAGTGGATGTGTCACTTCAGTGTTTCTAAGAAGAAAGCCTTTAGAAATGAACCCCAAGAAATCTTAAGTAAAATTCTCAACAAAGTGGATCAACTTCTTTTCCTGTTGTGGCTCAGTATCTTTCTTGACTCAGTGGTTTAAAAGTATGCAAAGAAAGGCAAATAATCAGAAAAAGGGCACACAATGTACTTTCTTTTTGTGTCCACAAATTCTTTTCTGAGTTTCCAGAATACATGTCCAAAGCCCACAATTGTTCTGGTCATGGGTCAAGGAAGAAAATGAACCCCAAGGGATTTCTGCTTGACTTCCAAAACAGGTCACAATATATTGTGGATTATTTTGTGCAGCCCCAGGGAAATGAAAAGGATTTATATAAGAGTGCAAGTTTTGCTCATATGTAGATCCAGTTCATTTTGTTTCATCTTGCACAGGAAACATTCCTAGCAGATTGTTTCTGATTCGATTAAACTCATGCACAACTCTTCTATCACTTGAGTCATGTCTGATCTTGAACAGTCACAACACTGCTACTATTCCAACAGATCTACCTCAGATTACTACAGCAGCATTGGTTGTAACTATGATCATTTGTCATGGCAATTTCATTGATATTTTATTGTATTCGAGACTGTTCCAAAGAGGCAATTTTGGCTATGGCTGTTTATAGCCTGGAACAGCCTAAATGGTATTATGTTCTTCTTTTTACATATGTGAATGTTGGACGGATTGTTCTGAAAGGGGCATAAAGCAAAATCGAAGTGCATCTTTTAAATTCATACTTAGGAGAACTTAATTATTCATATCCAAAATGTTACATTGTGTTTAAGAACTGTTAAGATGCCCATTTCATGCCTTCTGCTGTAAAAGGAGCTCATTGGGTGTTGGTTTGGAAAGAGACAAACAAATAGGTCTGCAATTTATTTTTATAACTTGGGTCCTTTTTCCCTGGGTAAAGTGTTCCTGTTTCTTTTTAAAGCCTATATGAACATTTTTAAAATAAAAAATAAAAATAAGTTATCTGCTTTCTTGGTCATATTAAGGATATCAATTATAATAAAATACAATACACGATGTTACCTCTGACTTTATTTGAAACCTTCTGGGCTGTTTGCAGTATACTGATGTTGCAAGCAGCATGCCAGTGGTACCCCAGCTCCTCCAGAACACCAGATTGTTCATTTTCCCCATTTTCCCCATTCTGAACTTCTCGAGTTTAGCACAGCTGCATCCAGTTTAGCACAGTTGCCTCCTAGCATTACACATTGTTAAACATTTGAACAAGAAGCAAGTGAAAATAATAACATTAATGCAATATCCAAGTCAAAAACAAGCACAAACACACAGGCAAGGAACACACACAGCATCCACTTTTCTTTGCCTTCATGCATTTGGGATCAGCGCTAGGGGGCTCACCCCCATGTCAAAGCTCCTTAGCTCATTTTCAGATGGTTTGTTGGGATTTGATGTAAATTACTTCATGGGTTTCTTCAGGGGTTCTCCTTGCTTAAGTGTACAAACCTCAGTAATAGTTTTGTGACCCTGGAATAATAACTAGAAAGGTAAGCCCTACCTCAATACCATACAAACCTCAATACAATGAAATTAAATATGAGAACTCTATATTCCTTTAAATTGGTTGGGGTAGATTCAAGGTAGAGGCAAGATATATTATTTCACACCAAGTGTGTACAGTAAAGTGAAAACACAGCACAGGCAACCCTTTTTCACACAGTGGATTCCTTCTTTAAGGAAGTCCCTGTCGACTTCCAGGCCCAAAGGAGCTCTCTCTGAATGCCAGTGGGCAGCAGGAGGGTGGGAGAACAAGGGAAGGCTATGCAGACCTGTGGACCATTAATCAGTGCTGGAGAAGTTGCTCTTTCCACAAAGTCCCTAGATTTCTGATACCTGCCAGGACAATTTAATTCAGCCGCCATCGTTACATCTTTTAAGTAAGATGATTTCTCTGGAGCAGAGGCTGTAACCGCTGTGGCTTTTCTGCAAAGTATCCGGTGCACGGCACCCGCTCCTGAAAACAGATGCTTCTATCAAGGCTCTATGGCAGTGTTGCCCCTTCAACAGTCAGAAATACAATCTGCCCATCACAGCAAGTCCTTCTCAGTGCAGCTTCTTCACACTACCCGCCTTGGCATTTTTCCTTTGTTGGGGAAAATGGAGCAAATGATGTTTCAAAAGGGAATTCAATGTTTGACAATCAGCTGCCTGCCTGCAGGATGTCTATGTCAGCTGCCGCTTGAGTAGGTTTCCATCTCATTTCTCTTTGTTCTGGCAGTGGCAGGCACAAATCTGTTCAGATCGGAGCCGGTATGTCTACCTAAGGCAAGGCCCAGGCAGACTATGATGAGCATCCTTGCATGAGCCAATCAGACCCTTGCCATGAAGTGAGGTCCTTGCTGGCTGTAGTGTTTTCCATTGAGGCAGATATGGATGTGTTGCTTCTGAACGTCACTGTGACGGAATTCCCTGCCAACCAGCAAGAAGTGTATCTGATGCATCATCATTCTTTATTTCCCTGCATTGGACATTGCAGACCAGGAGGTGTGGGACAAGGGTCTTTTATAGTTTTCTCCCCAACCTCACCTTCTCACAGTAGTGCTGGGAAGCCCTCCATTAGTCTCATGATGGCTGGAATCCCCCCAACACTGCAGAGCTGGTCTCAGTGAGAGCCCAAGGATCCATTATCGCATCCAAAGGATGCCACACCCTCCCCACTTCTAGAGGGCAAATGGCACCATTCAGGGGCAGGGACTTATATCTATTTCCATGCAGGCTAGTTTTCCTGTTTTGCTGTGCCGTCCTGTGGAGTGCACTGGAGTTGTAGCCAATCTTAGCTTCACAGCACTTATACAAACAGTTAAAAGGTATCAAGGTAGATATATGATGATGACAGTCTTTGAGTGGTGTTCACACAAGATTTCAGTACATTACCCAGTTCCAGTCCAGTCACACCAATCTTGCATGCAGTCTAATTTCTGTGGCTGTGGATACCCAGCCAGAGAATTCACCTATCTCATAGCATCATATACACTGGTCCAGATCTAGCAAGGGTCTCTCAGCATTGGTTGCTCTGATACTGACTACATGGCCATAACAATGACTAGTACTGGCTCCATGACTGCCCCATCAGAGCGTTAATAGAAGAAAAGGAAAGCAAGCAGCAGTTCCACAGATGACTTCAGTGTTGACTGTGCCCAGTTCTATGTGGTTGTGTGTATTCATGTGCAGAAGTTCATTCATAACGGCCACCGAGAGAATGGGAGAACCAGTTGATGTCTTTTCACTAAGATTTTCAATACCCTATATATTTCTCATTTTTCAGTGCAAGAAAAATAACTTTTGCAATAATTAAGGAAACCTAATTTCAAGGAAAATCTTTGCTAATATAATCTGCAATATCTGACATAGCTATTACAGAGTGCTTTGTGACAGGGATGGTTGCATTTCATTGCATTTACTCTTGAACTTTACATTTGCAGACCCCCATGTCATATTGCAAACTATTTTTAACATTCCTTAATTTTTTTTTGGGGGGGGCAGGTTTCAAAGTTTGCCTTACACAGGCACAATGCACCCTTGAGTATGCAGGTCTAGGAGTACAGTCCTTTTTTACTCATATGAAAGAATCTTACGGACATTGAAGAAGATATGAAGTTTTGGATCAGAGTGAATTCCCATTGCCTGTAACCTAGGAAGGTTTTCAGTTCCATTTAAAGAAAAGACACATAGCTTAGATCCTGACCTGGCCATACACAGAGAACTATCGAGATCAATCACACTCAGTTATGACTGAGTAAAGACCTTTTGATTTCAGTGGGCCTGCACCAAGTATGATTAAGTCTGGATTCCATTTATTGTTCATAACAGTTGCCTGCAGTGCTTGAGAAGTCATCTTGAGTTTATTATTTGTTTCCCAATAAATAATAACATAACTCCCACATGAAAAATGCTGGACAAGCTACACAGTTTCCAGCAAGTAAAGGATGCTACCTTGTGGTGAGTACTCCTCTTTGGCTCAAGCATCGTCTCTACTTACTGCTGAGAAACACTACCTGGAGACATTTCCAAGTTCTAAACACTCCTGCCCGCATCAACAGCGCTCCGAGCAGCGTGAGGTGACAGTCTTGCTAGTCTGCCTTTCCCAGTGCCCTCAGCCTGAAGCGTGACCCACATGCCAGTGATTCAGAGGCCCTTGTTACTGACCGCAGCAGGCCTTCTGTGATTTTTGTGGTTTCACGTGGAAGACTGTAGCTATTCTGAAAGGACACACATAGGGTAGATCACCCAGTATGAGGCTCAGCAAATAACTGAAGAGCCTAGCGCTTTAAGCGGCAAGACCCCCACCACCCAGTGGCAGCATATCCTCTCTCTCTCCCCCCCCCCACACACAGAGAGACACACAGAGAGAATTAGAAACTTACTTTCTTTCAGATTTTCATCTAATACACTTTACCATATTGACATGGTAAGTCATGGTAAGTAGTGCTATGTTGACATGGCAAGTCTTCATTTTCACAAGAAGCAATAAGAAGGAAGGGAAATATGAAGTGGGAATGGGGCCACTTTTTTGCTCCTGACAGTGAACTTCCCTTTGGAAAGCGCCTTGGAGCCATGGCCCAGCAGTGGGTGGAGCTGGGAGCCCAGAGCAAGGCCCAGGAAAAATCGAATTCTGACCAATATGGACATTTTCTCACCCAGCACACGAAACACAGCTCAATTCCCTGCATGTCTACTCAGAAGAAGGCCCCACTTAAGCAGTTCTCATACCCATGAAACCAACAGCTCAATTCTGTGTAGGGCATTTTTAATTATAATTGTTATTATTTTCATTTATAAACCACCCCACAGCAGAAGCTCCCTAGAAACAATCCTGTGCAAGTGAGTCAGAAAACAGGCCTTCATCCTCTTACATAGGAGCATGCCCTTAATGGTCTTTCAATACTCTCTAATATCCTGTCACTAACTGCAGAAAGCAAGAAACAGTTTCAGGTCGTGTGATGCACCACTAGGTGCTTCATCTGGCCCATGGGCCAGAAGGTTTTCCTCCCTGACATAAAGCCCCCAAATCTTCAGTTGGTAAACAAATAATTTAACAGTTTTATTTATGTGCATCTAATTGCAAATTGTAATTCTTTGTCCATAAAATGCACCTTATTTATTTATTTAGAATCTTTCCTACAAAATGGGAGGGAGCAAGGGAGGGAGAGGTTTAAGCTAATCCCAGGTTTTTGATTGCAGCCATGAGCACAGCTTTATTGTTTATATTCTTTTAATCATGTTACAATCTTTTTATGGAAACCTCAGAATAATCTGGAGTTGTGTTTGTATTGCAAAATTGAATAAGCATGTCATCTAAAATATCCAGGACATGCATCAGTTAAACAGAAAACCCTAACTCTTTGAAATCCCATGAGTTGCTGCTGCTGAGACTTGAGGACAACTCTTGCTAATTCTTCGCTTCAGAGAGTTATTGTCTCATGCAGAAAGTGGTTGCTGAGAACTTGGAAAGTGCCATTTCACCCCCTGGAGGTAAACAAGACTTTATAATTGTCTATAATTAATCTGGAATTCATAATGGTCAGAAACAAACAAAATCCTTCATAAAACTAAAAATTCATTCATTTGGGATGCCTTAAACACAAAAATGCTCACAGCAAACAAACCAACGTTGAACTCTGTTCCATTGAGGCTATTGCCATGTCTTTTCAACAGCTCAGATTTCCATGAGCATTATTTTGAACGGTGCACTAGAGAACAGACAGTTTTTCACTAGCAAGCTACTAATTTTAAGTTTCCAGTCCTTATGATTGTAAATCTAAGTTTGAAACTGTATAACTTACATATAGTGATCCTCAGAAACTTGAGGAGTGACTGAACAAGATTTCCAGTGGGCAGTGTCCACAAAGCAGAATTAAGTATACCATATTATGCAAATTGCTTTATTTGTACACTTTAAATATTCAGGGGGAAATTAGGAGAGAATCTGGCTTCCTTTTATTTTTAACTGTGAGAGATGGATAAATTTCTTCTTGAGTCTCCATTGACATTGGAGCT